CTCAGTTATTTTTTCCATAGGGGTATGCTACGAAATATTACATTGAGGAGTATTTTGTCCAGTCCATTTTTGCGGTTTTGCATGGAATGTTTCAGATTTGGTTTGTTGTTTCTCCATTTTTTTTTTATGTCATACCAATACAAACAAAAGAAAAAACATGAGAATGCCTAAATATTTGTAATTGCAACACTTTTCTTGGTGAAGTGATGCATTATCTGATATACGTGCAGGGGTGACATCATTTTCGGCCATGGCTGTATAAAAACCAGGCCACATTTATGACATGAGGCGTACAATACCCAGACCACATTCATTATATCGGGCCTATAATACCCAGACCACATTCATTATATCGGGCCTATAATACCCAGACCACATTCATTGTATCGGGCCTATAATACCCGGACCACATTCATTATATCAGCCTATAATACCCGGACCACATTCATTATATCGGGCCTATAATACCCAGACCACATTCATTATATCGGGCCTATAATACCCAGACCACATTCATTATATCGGGCCTATAATGCCCAGACCACATTCATTATATCGGGCCTATAATAATGCCCAGACCACATTCATTATATCGGCCTATAATACCCAGACCACATTCATTATATCGGGCCTATAATGCCCAGACCACATTCATTATATCGGGCCTATAATGCCCAGACCACATTCATTATATCGGCCTATAATGACCAGACCACATTCATTATATCGGGCCTATAATGCCCAGACCACATTCATTATATCGGCCTATAATACCCAGACCACATTCATTATATCGGGCCTATAATGCCCAGACCACATTCATTATATCGGGCCTATAATACCCAGACCACATTCATTACATGAGGCGTATAATACCCAGACCACATTCATTATATCGGCCTATAATACCCAGACCACATTCATTATATCGGCCTATAATGCCCAGACCACATTCATTATATCGGGCCTATAATACCCAGACCACATTCATTATATCGGGCCTATAATGCCCAGACCACATTCATTATATCGGGCCTATAATACCCAGACCACATTCATTACATGAGGCGTATAATACCCAGACCACATTCATTATATCAGGCCTATAATACCCAGATCACATTCATTATATCAGGCCTATAATGCCCAGACCACATTCATTATATCGGGCCTATAATACCCAGATCACATTCATTATATCAGGCCTATAATACCCAGATCATATTCATTATATCAGGCCTATAATACCCAGATCATATTCATTATATCGGGCCTATAATACCCAGACCACATTCATTATATCGGGCCTATAATACCCAGATCACATTCATTATATCGGGCCTATAATACCGAGACCACATTCATTACATGAGGCGTGTCATGGAAATTTTCTATTACAGGTTGAACTTTAAATGTGTCATATATGAGTGTTATTCATATGTCTCTCGTGTGGTGGCTTAATTAAAGCTCTGAAGGCTGCAATTAGGCCATGCGCATTTACAATGTATATATTACAGTACTCAGCTCAGTAACGGATGAGATGGCAGATCTGCGCTTATAGACCGGCGTGTATACCACCACGGCATTCGATGCGAATGCCGCCGGCGGTAGGCCGCGGGCCTGTATCCACATATCAGCAGCATAGTACCGCAAGGCGCCAAGCAGTGCGAACTCCGTGTGTAGGCTCATGTATATCTTACAAGCCATTACCGACCTGAAACTGTATCTGGATGGATGTGTTTTAATAAAGATCGTATCGGGCCCATTCAGATACAGACTGGCACTGTTTAATCTAGGGGATGCTTGTACAGAGAATTTACAAACCACTAGGAGCTAATAGGAGGGGGAAGGTTGCTTCCCTCAGAGAGGAGCTCATGGAGGGAGGGGAGGACTGGTGATAGATAATAGGAAAGGCTACGCTCCAATCGGAATGTACATCCTGTGTATAGGCACTCCCCATGCATTGTTCTGTGGGAGGGGATTGACCTGACTCATGTGGGGGGCCTGTGTGTGTTTGTAATAAAAATCGGAGGCTGGGGTTGGATCGGTCTCTATGTGAATTCCAACAGCAACCTGAGAGTGTCGTGTGATCATTTCTAGGTAACTGGAGCTCCATTTCCCCACAAATCTGAGATAGCTAACCCAGTTGGAGGTGCAGGATTGGTGGAGTTTAGCTGCAGTCGTGGTAAGCGAGATTCGCACAGCTTTATGGGGGATTGCTGCGCATCCAACTGCGAGTACTCACGGTAAGGAGAAATTCGTTCAAAGGGAATTTCCAAGACAGGCGTATAATACCGAGACCACATTCATTATATTGGGCCTATAATACCCAGACCACATTCATTACATGAGGCGTATAATACCCAGACCACATTCATTATATAGAGTGTATAATACCCAGACCACATTCATTATATAGAGCGTATAATATACCCAGACCACATTATATCAGACGTATAATATCCAGACCACATTCATTTATATAGAGTGTATAATACCCAGACCACATTCATTATATGTGACGTATAATACGCAGACTAAATTCATTATATTGGGACACATAATACGCAGACCACATTCATTATATTGAACGTATAATACGCAGACCACATTCATTATATCAGACATATAATACCCGGACCACATCCATTATATCAGACATATAATACCCGGACCACATCCATTATATCAGACATATAATACCCGGACCACATCCATTATATCAGACATATAATACCCGGACCACATCCATTATATCAGACATATAATACCCGGACCACATCCATTATATCAGACATATAATACCCGGACCACATCCATTATATCAGACATATAATACCCGGACCACATCCATTATATCAGACATATAATACCCGGACCACATCCATTATATCAGACATATAATACCCGGACCACATCCATTATATCAGACATATAATACCCGGACCACATCCATTATATCAGACATATAATACCCGGACCACATCCATTATATCAGACATATAATACCCGGACCACATCCATTATATCAGACATATAATACCCGGACCACATCCATTATATCAGACATATAATACCCGGACCACATTCATTATATCAGATATATAATACCCGGACCACATTCATTATATCAGATATATAATACCCGGACCACATTCATTATATCAGATATATAATACCCGGACCACATTCATTATATCAGATATATAATACCCGGACCACATTCATTATATCAGACATATAATACCCGGACCACATCCATTATATCAGACATATAATACCCGGACCACATCCATTATATCAGACATATAATACCCGGACCACATCCATTATATCAGACATATAATACCCGGACCACATCCATTATATCAGACATATAATACCCGGACCACATCCATTATATCAGACATATAATACCCGGACCACATCCATTATATCAGACATATAATACCCGGACCACATCCATTATATCAGACATATAATACCCGGACCACATCCATTATATCAGACATATAATACCCGGACCACATCCATTATATCAGACATATAATACCCGGACCACATCCATTATATCAGACATATAATACCCGGACCACATTCATTATATCAGACATATAATACCCGGACCACATTCATTATATCAGATATATAATACCCGGACCACATTCATTATATCAGATATATAATACCCGGACCACATTCATTATATCAGATATATAATACCCGGACCACATTCATTATATCAGATATATAATACCCGGACCACATTCATTATATCGGGCGTATAATACCCAGACCACATTCATTATATCGGGCCCATAATACGCAGACCACATTCATTATATCAGATATATAATACCCAGACCACATTCATTATATCAATATATAATACCCAGACCCAGACCACATTCATTATATCAGATATATAATACCCAGACCACATTCATTATATCAGATATATAATACCCAGACCACATTCATTATATCAGATATATAATACCCGGACCACATTCATTATATCGGGCCTATAATACCCAGACCACATTCATTATATCGGGCCTATAATACCCAGATCACATTCATTATATCAGGCCTATAATACCCAGACCACATTCATTATATCGGGCCTATAATGCCCAGATCACATTCATTATATCAGGCCTATAATGCCCAGACCACATTCATTAGATCGGGCCTATAATACCCAGACCACATTCATTATATCGGGCCTATAATACCCAGATCACATTCATTATATCGGGCCTATAATGCCCAGACCACATTCATTATATCAGACATATAATACCCGGACCACATTCATTATATCGGGCATATAATGCCCAGACCACATTCATTATATCGGGCGTATAATACCGAGACCACACTCATATCGGGCGTATAATACCGAGACCACATTCATTATATCGGGCCTATAATACCCAGACCGCATTCATTATATCGGGCCTATAATACCCAGACCGCATTCATTATATCGGGCGTATAATACCCAGACCACACTCATATCGGGCGTATAATACCCAGACCACATTCATTATATCAGGCGTATAATATCCAGACCACATTCATTATAGCAGACGTATATTATCCAGACCACATTCAAGAGATCAGGTGTATAATATCCAGCTACTCAGGCACTACAAGTCCCAGCCAGTTCTCCATCGCACTGTGTAGAGAGCCTGCTGGGACATGTAGTCTCTAATCAGCTGGAGGACAGTGAGCTCTCTGGTACCTTACTGTGCGAGGACCTGAGCCGTATAAACCCAGCCACCCTCCAGTGCCTCACAGCTGCCTTCTGCACCCACATTTCCACAAGGGTCGCATTCCAGTGACGTTGGAAACGGCGCGACGGCTAACGTGACCTTGAACAAAGAGCAGCCATCTTTAGAGAGGGCACAGGAGGCATTTGTTGGCTATGGTGTGCGCTGTTCGGTAGTGACCCAGGCACCGACATGAACAGTGTGGGTGAGGAGTGCACAGACATGAAGCGGGAGTATGACCAGTGCTTCAACCGGTGGTTCGCCGAGAAGTTCCTGAAAGGGGAGGGCAGCGGGGACCCGTGCATAGAGCTCTTCCAGCGGTACCGTACCTGTGTCCAGGTGAGACCTACCTCAATCAGGGGGACTGAATCAAGGCATACGAGGGCCTTTACAGTATGTGGGAGAGTTAGAAGGTCTTGTCAACTTTGTTCTGCTCTGTATGTCTCCATTGGGGACATTACTTTCACTTCCTGTATCAGTGGGACAGGATACAGGAAATACAAAATAGACAAAACAAAACCCCTTACAACGTTGTCTATGTGGAAACGGAACTTCACCTAAAAAGTGAAACAAGGCACACTTAAAGAGGAAGCACTGATAGGCGGCAGTGATGGGCACTAATATGTAGCACTGATGGGCACTTCTGGGGATGCACTGATCATCAGGGCAGATATCTGCTTTGACAGTTGCCAGTTAAAGGCTGTACTTTCCACAGCTGTGACAGCATGAGGAAAGTACTGGCGATAAGCAGCAAGTGTATTTACATGGTGGTCAGCTGTGATTAGACACAGCTGATCATGTGGTACAAGGCCGCTGTGACCTTTTACCATGTCATGTGATCAGCTGTGTCCAAAGGTCGCAGCTGATCACAGACAGCTCTGGGGGAGCATTCTATGAGGACGTCGTATGACGCTGTCCTAAAATTGGACGACCGTGCTGTAGCTGCCATTTGGCTATATTACAATAGGGAAGTGGTTAAAGTGTAAAACAAAATGCAAACAAGCAGGTCTTTATTGCAGAAGAGACATGATGTACTTTATGTACACTTACCTGCCTATTTGCAATCCTCTGCAAAATGTACACTGAGCAGTTCAGGTTACATTCCAGTACATGCTGCCTGTGTGTGGGGAGTAGTGTGGTCATGCACCAGCCAGTCAAACTGCATGAAGACCATCGCCTGTAAGAACCTGGGTAGGAAATACTGCACCAGCAAGGGATCTGGTGGGTGTTGGACAGTTGGAGCTAAAGCCAGCCATGGATGCATCAAATTTTGGACAGTTCATCAAGGACCATCCGAGATTCCATCCATCTACAGTGGATATAAAAAGTCTACATACCCCTGTTAAGATGTTAGGTTTCTGTGATGTAAAGAAAAATGAGACAAAAATCAATTCAGAACTTTTTCCGCCTTTTTAATGTGACCTATAAACTGTACAACTCAATTGAAAAATAAACTGAAATCTTTTAGGGGGGAAGTAAACATAAAAAACTAAAATGCGGTTGCATAAGTGTGCACACCCTCTTATAACTGGGGATGTAGCTGTGTTCAGAATTAAGCAATCACATTCAAAATCATGTTAAATAGGAGTCAGTACACACCTGCCATCATTTAAAGTGCCTCTGATTAACCCCCAAAAAGTTCAGCTGTTCTAGTAGGTCTTTCCTGACATTTTCTTAGTCCCATCCTACAGCAAATGCTATGGTCCGCAGAGAGCTTCCAAAGCATCAGAGGGATCTCAATGTTAAAAGGTATCATTCAGGAGAAGGGTACAAAAGAATTTCCAAGGCATTAGATATACCATGGAACACAGTGAACACAGTCATTATCAAGAGGAGAAAATATGACGCAAAAGTGACATTACCAAGAACTGGACATCCCTCCACAATTGATGAAAAGACCAGAAGAAAACTGGTCTGGGAAGCTGCCAAGAGGCCTACAGCAACATTAAAGGAGCTGCAGGAATATCTGGCAAGTACTGGCTGTGTGGTACATGTGACAACAATCTCCCGTATTCTTCATATGTCTGGGCTATGGGGTAGAGTGGCAAGACGGAAGCCTTTTCTTACGAAGAAAAACATCCAAGCCCGGCTAAATTCTTCAAAAACACATCTGAAGTCTTCTAAAAGCATGTGGGAAAATGTGTTCTGGTCTGATGAAACCAAGGTTGAACTTTTTGGCCATAATTCTAAAAGATGTTTGGTGCAAAAACAACACTGCACATCACTAAAAAACACCATACCCACAGTGAAGCATGGTGGTGGCAGCATCATGCTTTGGGGCTGTTTTTCTTCAGCTGGAACTGGGGCCTTAGTCAAGGTAGAGGGAATTATGAACAGTTCCATATACCAGTCAATATTGGTACAAACCTTCAGGCTTCTGCTAGAAAACTGAACATGAAGAGGAACTTCATCTTTCAGCATGACAACGATCCAAAGCATGCATCCAAATCAACAAAGGAAACGACTTTGGTTTGTTGTTCAACTGAGTTGTACAATTTTTTAGGTTACATTAAAGGTGGAAAAAGTTCTGAAATGATTTTATCTTTGTCTCATTTGTTTACATTACAGAGACCTGACATTTTAATAGGGGGGTGTAGTCTATTTATATCCACTGTATGGGCAGGCTGATTGTGCTGTAGTTGGAATAGTTGAGGAATAAGGAAGTGGGGAGCAAGTGCCTGCTGAAAAAGTTATCCCCCACAAAAAAATTGATTTCCAAAATATGTAGCAGGGAGGGTCAGAAGAAGGACTCTCTTCTGTGCATGCTTACCTTTCCTTGCATTTTTGTTGCTCTTTTGGAGCCCCATGTCTCTTCTGGGCCGCCACCTTGTGTAGTTCAGCCGTGCCAGTTTCCACCACATGCACACACCTAGCTCTTTTGGTTTACATATTGCAACAGTAATGGCAGCGTAAGCACTGCCAGTTCTGTGATGCTTATATTGGCTTTGCAAAGGCAACAGCTAAAAAACAGAATCTAATAGAACCTTATGTCTCCATGAAAAAGTACCTGTCACTGCCTAACGCTATCACAAGGGGGTTTGTTCACCTTGTTTTGATAGCAATAAAGTTTAAATTTAAAAAAAAAAAATTTAAGCGCACAAAAAATAAATTTAGATAACAAAAATATTATTTTTAAAACAACCGCCCCACCTTTCCTCACGCATACAAAGCAAATACAAAACACGCACAGTATATGGCAAGGCGCATGTAAACAGCAACTGCATCACACAATGTGAGATATCACTGTGAGTTGGTCGAAGTGAGAGCAATAATTCCCATCGACTAATTCACGATTCTCTCTAAACTGGTTACCCTGTAAAGGCTTTTTAAAGCGTCACCCAATGGACAGTTTTAGGTACGTGTAATTTGATGCCATTTCACTGGCGTGCACAATTTGAAATCCTCATGTGGTTGTTATCTGTTTAAACACACAAAATCATCTTCTTTTTTTTAATTTTAGCAAGCAAAAAAATAGGTATTGTGTTTTATGTGCATTAAAATTCATTTAGGTGTATTTTTTTCCTGAAAATTCATGTTTGACATAGGCTGCATAAATTTTGTGCCACTGCACAAAACATAATTGCAGAAAGCCACCATTTTATTCTCCAGGGCCTCTGCTTTTCAGAAAGAATTATTTGTTTGATGGTCCTAAGTATTTTTGAGCACAAAGAAAATGCTGATTTTACCATGTAAACGTCGCAGTGTTCGTGCGCTGGAGAGACTATGGCGCAAAACCAGGTCCCCTCATGCATTCTCCTCTACAAATCTGCCTTCCTCACCTACACCTCCTCCCTCCACGCCGCCCAAGCAGGCCTACTTCGTTAACCTGATCAACACCCTCTCCACCTGCCCTCGCCGACTCTTCTCCACCTTCAACTCCCTGCTCTCGCCCCTCCCCCCCCCCCCCCTCCTCCACTCAGTACCTCACTTACCGCCGCCACGAGATTGCCACTCATCTCCACAACAAGATTGACGCAATCCGCAAGGACATAGTCAACTTTGCAATCTACCTCCCATCTAGCCTCCCCCCTTCCATCACGCCCCTCATCTCTCCCTCCTCTGACCTCGCAACGGCACTGCCCCCCCACACACCCAAGGCCCTGCCTACCGTAACCCCCCCCATCACTGCACTCCTTCAGCCCTACTACCACTGAGGAAGTCACCAGAGTCTTCTCAGAAGCCCGCTCACCACCCTGCGCCCCTGGACCCTATCCCCTCTCAACTCCTCCGGTCATCCCCCCCTCTTCCCTCATCCGCTCCCCTTACCCACATCTTCAATCTCTCCCCTCCTCACTGGCGTCGTCTTCCCCCCCCCCCCTAAAACATGCGCACATCACCCCCATACTCAAAAAGCCCTCCCTGGACCCCACTGACCTCAACAACCTCAGACCAATTTCCCTGCTGCCACTCACTTTCCAAGCTCCTTGAGCGCTTGGTCTTCGATCGCCTAAGCAACCCACCTAACTGACAGCAACCTCCTTGACCCACTACAGTCTGGCTTCCGTCCCCTACACTCCACCGAAACTGCCCTCCTCAAAATCACCAACGATCTACTAACCGCCAAAGCCAAAGGCGACTACTCTGTCTCCTTCTCCTAGACCTCTCCGCGGCCTTTGACACAGTCGACCACCCCTCCTCCTTAATAAGCTACTCTCCCTTGGGCATCAGAGACAGCGCTCTCTCTTGGTTCTCGTCCTATCTATCCCAACGCTCCTTCAGCATTTCCTACAACGATGCCACCTTCCTCTTCCCTCCCCCTCTCTGTTGGGGTCCCCCAGGGCTCTGTCCTTGGACCCCTTCTCTTCTCCATCTACACCTCCTCCCTTGGCAAACTCATACACTCCCACGGCTTCAATTACACCTCTACGTGAGATGATACTCAAATCTACCTATCCACCCCTCACCTCACCCCCCACATTCTCCGCCCGCATCACTCACCTCCTAAACGACATCTCTGACTGGATGTCGCTCCATTTCCTCAAGCTAAAAAACCTCTCCAAAACCAAGCTCTACTCGTCTTCCCCCCAGCCCGCGCCCCCCCCCCCCCACCCATCCTTTTCCATCACTACCAACACCACCACCATCAATCCCGTCCAGCAAGCCAAGGTCCTTGGCGTCATTCTGGACTCAAACCTTTCCTTTCAACCTCATATCAAATCACTCACAAACACATGCAGGCCTCCACCTCCGGAACATCGCCAAGATACGCTCCTTCCTTACCCCAGACACCACTAAACTAACTATCGTACACTCCCTGATTATCTCACGCCTCGACTACTGCAACTCCCTACTCCGGGCCGGCCTATCCCAGTGCAAGCTCTCCCCGCTTCAGACCATCCTGAACTCAGCGGCCAGACTCATCCCACCTCACCAGCCGCTCCACCTCTGCCACCCCCCTCTCTGCCTCTCCCTCCACTGGCTCCCCATTGCCCAACGCATTAAATTCAAATTGCTCACCCTGACCTATAAGGCCATTCACAACACTGCCCTAACTACCTCACCGACCTGATTCCCAGGTACCACCCTACCCCGTACCCTTTTGCTCTTCACAGGACCTCCTT